AGGAGGGAGGGCATGTACAGTATAGGCTTTGTGGTATGAGTGGAGGCTTGTGGTGGGGTCAGGGGTGTGCACATGAGGGTCTCTCAGGGGGCAACACGGAGCTGCACAGGGTCCTCCAGGAACCACAGAGCGAGGGGGTGGGAGCTGATGGAGATGGAGGACGGGCTGTGGTGCAGCGATGCCCGGCAGGAGCCAGGACGGAGCAGGGAGCTCCAGGGTCTGTAATGAGCAGGAGTGACTTGTTAGCACTGAATTAAGAGGCTTGGCGGAAGGAAGCGCGGGTGACACAAGCTGTGTGGGGCAGGCGGGAGCTGAGCGATGGCAGCTGGAATCCCCGGCAATCTGGTGAGTGCGGCTCAGCCCCGCGCTCCCGGCTCACCGCGATCGGCCTCCGACAGCCCCTGACAGTTGGCATTAATCACGCACATCGCCCCAACACAACTCTTTACTGGCCATCAATTTCCCGTGGGTTTTAAAACTAAAAAACAAAGACAAAACCGCGTCGTTTGGCCGCCACTGAGAAGCACATTAAGGGGCTGTCAGCTTCTCGCCATGCACCCTGCATCACTCTTTAAGCACATGAGAAGTTCATTATCCCCGGAGCTCTGGCAGCCATGGGGAGGCTGGCGCAGGGAGCGTCGCAAAGGTGCTGCTGCCCTCAGCTGTGTCTGGTGGCTCCTGGGCCCTCCTGGCTTTCAGGACAGGGGCCGAGGGTCTCAGGCACAGAGGAGCTGTGGCTGCAGGGAGGGTCTGGGTTGCTCCGTGGCAGGATGGGGCACTTTTGGCCGTGACACTTTGCTGGGTTCTGATCTGAGCAGACTTCCCTGATGGTCCCTGTGGGTTGACACTGCAACCCCACTGTGGTGACAAGCATCTTCATCCCCTGACAGCCTGACACACGTTTGCCAGCCTGTGGGTGCTCCCTGACAGCCTGAGCCGCACTCCCCTGTTTGGTGACATCCCCGGCAGCCCAATCCCATGCCTGCCATAGTTTGTGGATGCTCCCTGGCAGCCTGACACTGCGCTCTCTTTAACATGAGCCCATGTAAAATAGCAACAGCTCGTTTGATTTATGATACTTCAGAACAACTAAGATTCAATTGCTCCGCACGTCCCTGGCTCTGATTACCTCCTAAATGAGATAAACTGATGGCAATTTATCCCCAGACCTCACTAACTTTCCCAGGATGCTAACCTGAGCCGCTCGTGCCCCGCTCACAGGTGTGGGGTGGGCACAGGAAGGTGAAGGCAGTCTGGGCACTGCCCAAACCTGCTCCCTCAAACACCCCCACAGCTGCTCCTGCCCAGAGGAATACTGTGACAGAGGCTGAGCCTGACACTGCACCCAGCCCCATGCAGCTCCTGGTTTTGGGGCGTCCGGCCACAGTGCTCCCCACACTAGCACAGCCACACTGGCCTGAGCTGATGGGGAGCATGGCTCATCACTGGGCTGTGCCCATGCTCGTGCCAGGAAAGACAACCCTCCACAGAGGGATGAGCACCACAAGGGATGGCAGCTCAGCCACAAGGGACGGCAGCTCTGCCACAGGGCCCATCAGTCCCATTCCCAGCACACTGATTTCACACTTTCACTGTGTTGACTATGTGAAAGCAAAAAGCTCAGATTACCCTGCTCTGAAAAAAACTGCTGGAACTGTTCAAAAGCAGCTAAAAAAAATTCAAGGGGGGATCAGGCATACTTATGGACACCAGTCCATGAGATAAACCCATGGCCATGCCCATGACGTGGGGCAATGCTCAGCTCTGGGTTCATGGCTGGAACTGACTGACATCCATTCAGACATTGGTATGGGACCTCATGTGGAGGCTCAGCACCTCCTTGTGCTTGCACCAGTCTCTCTGTCTCATGCAGGACAGTGACCCAGGGGCGACCACCCGAGCATCAGTCCCAGAGTCACTTGCTCCTCTGCCTCTGCCCTGGGCTGCTGGTCCTGGTGACGAGCTGTCACAGAGCCCAGAGCTGTGCCAGCTCTCAGTGCAGTCCTGGTGCTGGGAGCAGGAGAGAGACCAACCAAGTTGCCCACAAAGGTACCATGGGCAAGAGACCTGGTAGCAGCTGTGTGGTAGGCAGGGGATTGTCTGCATGAACAGGAGTGTGTGACCCAGTTCCATAACTCATCCTGAGCACAGGGGTGCACAAAGACCCTCTCCTGACAGAGACGCCCCTCTCTCCCCAAAACGGGGCATGCAGCTCTTTGCTGCTGGAACTGGCTACAGCAGGATGAAGATGGGAAGCTCTAAGTGCAGCAGGAGTGGCCACTCCCTGGACTCAGAGCAGGTCCTGCTGGCATGGAGGCTGGCCGCAGCCCCTCGACCCACAGCAAGGCATCCTGCTCACACAGGGGGAGCTGGGAGCACAACAGAAGTGATCCTGCCTTTGGAAGTCCAATTTTGCAATCGGACCAGTCTTCTAACACAGTAGATTACTTAAAAAATAAATGCAAGGTCAATTTGTTAACAGCCAACCAAAAGGCAGAAACCCACCATGTAACACCTCAGGGCACCACTGAGTCCCAACACAGGCCTGGGAGCAGCTGGTTCCCATCACCTCTGCCTGACCACAGCGCTGAGCTGGCGGGTGCTGCACCCACTCACCCCCTGGAGGAGGGCACGGGGGCTTGGAAAGTCTGGAGACACAGCAGATGGGTTGCTTGTGTGCCTGTGGGTCACAGATGCCCCCTCTGCTGTGCTGTGCTCTCCTCACCACTCACGTGGTGCTTGCACTGCTCCTTCCCACTGCCACGCCAGAGCAGCTCCCATTGCCCACGTCCCAGCACCGGCAGCACTGCGGATCCCAGCTGGGGGATTCCTCCTGCTCCTGGCACCAGTGCCACAGGCTCTGGCAGCAGGAGGATCCACGGCGTGCAAGGTCTGCCAAGTGACGGATGAAGGTTGGGAACTGACACTTTGCTGGCAAATGAAGTTCCATACTGATAAATGTGAAGGAATGCACACTGTAGGAAAAAGTTACATTACTCCAACACCTCACAGGGCTCCAAATTAACCATATCGAGACAAGGCCCAGGTATCACTGCAGGTAACACAGGCCTTTGCCCAGCTCACTGCCATGGCCAAGGACCAGGGCAGGGAACAACAGAAAATACTGTGATGCCCTCGTGCTCCACCTCTCCCACTCCACCTTCCAGGGATGCTGCCAAATCGGGAAGGACATGCAGAGTGAGCACATGTCTGAAAAAATACTCCTATGAAATGATGAAAAAACTGGGATGGCTCAAAGACTACAGGCCTGGGCACCCAAGATTTTGATCAGTGGTTAGTCCATATGAATGCTTTGTAAAAGTGTTCCCGAGTTCAATGACCTTTTCCACTACAACACTGCATTCCATTCTGTGTAACTTGAGGTCTCAGCATCTGCACCTCTCCCATGCTGTCAGCTGTGCCAAGCAGCCACAGGACCAGACTCCTCCTCTGCAAGCACTGACACATCAGTCCTGCACTCCTTGATCTTCATTGTGGTAGTTGAGTGCCTTCATGTCCACAACATAAACCCAGATATCACACCCAAGTCAGTTTTGGGACCTTCTTTACAACTCTTTCGTAGAATATTATTAAAGGATGGGACACGGTACTTCAGCACGTGCTTTCTCAAGTTTCACATGTGGGCACAAAGTCATTCTATCCTTTGCTATCTCACTCTTCATACAAAGAACGAGTCTCTTCTTTTGCCAAGCACCGGGCTGAGAACTACAAACCAATTTAGGAAGGGCAGCAATGGATCTGAGGAGGCAACATACACCCAGAGCTAAGAACAAACTGCAGCTACACCATGCTTTGCTAACCATGAAACCAGCGGGTATGACAGACTCAAACAATGCTCAAGGTGCCTCAGCCAAGGTGCCTTCCCCTTGCAGAGGAGAAGCCTGTCCTAGACTTGGGGCATTTCAGATGCAGACAACTACAACAGCAAAGAAAGTACAACAGAGCTGTCCAACTCTGCACATCATCTCTGCAATGTTTCCAAGAGAGGGAACTTGAGGAGAGCAGTTCTGCCATGGGACACCTGGGCTGCTGGGCTGCGGGTGGACCTGTGATGGAGCAGGGTGCCAGGACAGCTGCAGCAGCTTGAGGTACAGACTAACACTTCCTGGTTTGTTTTGCAGCAGTCATTAGCTTCCAACACTTGTACTGAACCCTCCTCCCATCTGAATTACATCCTTGGTTCACTACAAAAGCTTATTGAGTGCTGTGGGACAGGACCACCAAGAATGAAGTAAAATCTCAGACTGAGGATTGCTTTTTCCAGAGGCTAATCACAGATGCAGGCTTTGGAGAAAGTGGCTGCCAGGCTCATCTCTACCTGGACAAATCTGGGTGGCTTTTCCTAGCAGAATGCTTCCCCATGCCTTGCAGCCTCCTGCCAAGCTTTGGGTCCCTCTTCAGCAACCACAATCACCAGAATTTCTCAACACAAAAACCATCAGTACTTTGAGTATCGGCTAAGCAGTGCACATGCCTTCAGCTGGTCACCTGAACTAGATAAGCTTTTCCAGAAGACCTCTGGCTTCAGGCAGGTGCCCAGTGCAGGTCCTTTAAATAATGAAAGTTTGGCCAATTTCCAAAACAGAAATAGGCTCTTGTGGTGCAAAGTGTCTGCACCCATTAACCATGTGGTGTGCTCTCAGGTCTGTGACTACAGTTAGTAATTATTATTACCACTGAGGGTCTGTGCAGGCACGGGCATGACAGTGGTCCTGCCTGCACTGAGCATGAGAAATGGAGGGAAGAGCAGACCAGAAAGGCTGGTTTTTCCCTCCCTCCTTCCTCAGCACAAGCTGCTTGGACAAGGAGTGCTCCGAGCCCCAGGTCTCCATCAAGTCCCACATCAGGAGTGCTCTGAGCCCCAGATCCCTATCAAGACTTGGATAAGGAGCACTCTGAGCCCCAGATCCTCCCCGAACCTCACAGGACCCCTGGATGCCTGGTGCTCCGAGATGGCAGTGCTGCCAGACCCTTCCTACCTTCTGCTGCTGTGCTGGGACCATCAGGCCGAGTCGTCCCTGTGCTCTTTTTCCTGCGATGTTTTTTCCTGTTGGCATGTGGTGACGGAGGCGGCTCCAGCTTCGGGCTGGCAGTACTGGAAATGTTTGGGCTGGAGCTGAGCGAGTCGGCGGTACCATTAGCTGGGGACAAAGAAAAGGCAAGTCATGTACAGCGGGACAGTGACAGTCTGCTCTTTCCAGAGACACCCAGGTGTCCAGGAGTCAGCCCTGGTACTCGCCTGGCCATATGGCCACATGAGACAGGGAAGTAGCCGCTCAGCCCCATGGCACGGGGCCACTCTGACACTACTCCAGCTCAGGGCTGGCAGCAAATTGGGCAGAGTCAGGCTGGATCTGCTCCACACCAGGATCCATGTGGGATGATCACACAGGGGCAGCTCTGGCATCTATGCAGCCGGGACATGCACAGTGGCATCACTGAGGCAGCCTGATGTGCCACCCCCCAGCACGTGTCCCTGTGGGAGCAGCTCAGCATCAGCGTCCTCACGGGGCTGCACCAGGGAAGGGACGGACCCAGGAGGTGCTCTCAGTGCCCCCAGGGCAGATCCAGGCCCCAGGATCCGCAGAGCCTCTGCAGAAGCACTGGCCCCCCAGCACCGCTCTGCCAGACGAGGTGACTGGGGTTGCCACACTCAGGAACCTGAGCATGATGGGCTCAATAGGCTTCCGATACGGAGCTGAAGAAGCTGCATCCCCAGCAGCAACGCACCAAATTTATCCTCAATCATACTGTTCCTTACAATTAATAGCAGAATTAGAAACAATCAGGGAGCTGCCTAATTACTGTCAATTAGAGTGCGCTAATCAAGCTCCGATCACACACACACACGCTGCCGCTGCACTCACCATTAAATGTCAAATTTCATTAGAGACCAGCAACAAAATCAAAAGCCTGACATTCAATTTCAGCAGCACACACAGCGCAGGCTTCCAATCAGCATAAAAATGCAGACTCCGGGGAAGGCAACGAGGCGCAGGAGCCCTCGCTGCACTGTTAACCCTCTCCTAAATCCACTCCTGCCTCTCCAGTGTCCACCCACCCCCAGGGCACAGATGGCAGCTCCTCTGCTTCAGGTAGCTTGCCGTGCTCTCTGCCACAGCCCAGTGTTTCCCATCAAGTCCTGACCCTTCATTTCCATGTTCTGTGGCACCTGGAATTAAGAAAGGAATCACAGCATCACACAAGTTCCAGCAGCGGGACTGTGGGGACCTGCCAAGCCCTTCTCCCACCCCAGCCCAGCCTCTGCTTCCCCAGTTCAGCCTGCTTTGGTCAGACTGGCTCTCTGGGGCTTGATCTGTCTTGACAAATGTCAGCAGTGGGGTGGAGAGGGGAACAGAGGGATACAGAGCAGCACAGAGGGAAAGAGCCCAGGACCTCCCAGGGGTCAGAGGGCAGCCAGTGTCCCACTCACATTGGATGGGAGAGGACGCAGCATTGGATCTATCCCAACTCGGGCTTCTCTTGCACTGACACAGAGTAGTAGGGTGTTTCTGATGCTATTTATCCACAGGGAAATAGCTCACCCTTGACAATTAGGAGAGATAAATCTAATAAAATCAGACTCCAGTTTTATAAATATAAATTACTGATCCTGTTACAGGACTGTGCTTAGAGCAGGTGTGAGGCACCTTCAGCTCCCAGCCGCAAGTCGCAGGGGACCTGAACTTTCTCGTCAGTGGCTACACATGGTGCCTCCAGCCTCCCTCTGCTGCCCACCTGCTCACCAGGATGCCCCCCGGGCCAAACTCTGTGCTGCCAGCACTCTGCCCCCCTCCAGGCTCAGCGAGTGGGGTCGTGCCCTTCTGTGCTCCCAGCAAGCCAGCCGTGAGCCTGGCACCTCCTGATCCCCAAGGGATCATTGCCCTTGTCCCTGCTCTTACTGCCCAGCACCAGAGCTGGGGGCTTCCAGGGCCATGGTGGGATGGGGTTGGGATGGCAACGGGGGGGCAGCATGTGGAATATATACTCCCTCTGCAAGATCAGGTGTTGCTCACTCCCCCTCCTTCCCCAGCAGGGCCAGTGAGCCCCTCTGATCCACCCAAGGACTTCCAGGTCCCTGACTCACCATGGAACCCTCCACAGGCACACCTGGGACCTCCTGGGCTCCATCTCCAAACCAGCCAGTCTTATGGGTGGCTCTGGGACCCCACAGGTGGGTCACAGAGCTCCTCCATAAAGGACAGACATAGAATGTGCTGGAGCACATTTACATGACCGTACATCCCTGTCCATCCCTCTTCTGTGTGCACTCCAGGGTACAAATGGAGCAGGCAGCCTGTCCTCAGGTGTCAGGAGGGCAGCCTACACCCTCGGCATGTGCCCCAAATCTGCTCTGAGCAGAGGAATATTATTCACCTGCCTGGCCATGTAGAGCTGGAAACACAGCAGAGAGCTTGGACCCTGGAAGAGCTGGGGTTCAGATGTGGTGCAGGGACCCCCTCACAGTGCTCAGTCCCTTGGTGGAGGGGTGGTCGTGCTGCTCAGCTCGGCACTCTGTGCCATGTGGAAAGCACTGCCCACCCCCAAATGCCCCCTCTCTTGTGATGCTGAGAATCCACTTCTGCTGTGGCTGTGGGTGACACAGCCCATGGACACAGCTCCGGGACCCCTGGGACCCCTGGGTTGGTGGTCCCTCATGTGCCATAGGCCCTCCAGCACGGCTGGCCCCGTTACATGTCTGTGGAGCACTAACACAGGGTATGGCCAGGCAGGAGTGACCACAGGGTTCGGGGTCCAGCACAGTGTGGCAGGACCCAAGAGTGGACAAACAGCCACCAGCGCTTGGGACACACTGAGCATTGAGCTGACATCTTACCCCTGTGTCATGGGGAGGAGCAGCAGCAGAGAATCACAGAAAGTCTTGGGTTGGAAGGGACCAAAGATCATTCAATCCCATCCCCCTGACATGGGCAGGAACATCTTCCACTAGATCAGGTTGCTCCAAGCCCCGTCCCACCTGGCCTTGAACATTTCCAGGGATAAATCCACCTGCTTTTAGTTTAAAAATGTTATTCCTTGTCCTGCCACAACAGACCCTGCAGCTCAGCTCCCGTTTGTCAGTCTCCAGTTACTGTGAATGGAAGAGGCAGATTGGTCTGGGTGCTTCGAGCATGGACAGCTCCTGCATGGATAGGAGGAGAGTAATGGAGCAGGGGGGGCTGGGGAGGCCGAGGGACAGGATGCAGGAGGATGGGGAGCAGAGGGATGGAGAGCAGGGACTGGATGGCTCTCCTATGACACCCAGGCCAGGCCACGGGAGGCCAATGCACAGCCCCCAGCTCTGCAGTGGGGCCGCTGGGAGGAGGGATAAGACCTGCCACAACAGCTCCTGAGGCGGGAGGGCACTGGGGTAGGGAGCTGCCCTCCACAGGGGCTGTGCCACAGAATTCACCTGTGCCGAGGTGCCTCGTGTGCCGGCCGTGGTGCTGCACGAGGGTGCCAGAGCTGCTGCTGTGCACACCGGGGCACGGAGGCTCCCGCTGCCTGCGCTCACGGCTGCCTCGGGCCGGGCACGGCCTCGCCGGGGACCCTCTCCCGGCAGGGGACGAGGAGCCGCGCCCGTGTCCGGTGCCTCTCGCAAGGCGCTTCCCCGGCGGGGGCTGCCCCGCCGCCCCCCGTGTCCGAGGCGAGGGGCTGCCGGCACATCCCGCTCAGCGCTGCGCCCTTCCGCTCCCCTCGCCCGCGCTGCCCCATCAGCAGTAACAGTCTGATTAATTCGCTTCCAGCAGGGAGCTGATGGGGCCAATGATGGAGCCGCTGCATCAGGCGCGCTGAAATTGATAGTTTTTCACAGTTACAAATGAGGAGCCTCCTCAGCTGCAAATGGCGCCCGCACAGTCGGACTCCGGTAATGATCATAAAGAGGCTCCTTTAAACTGCGAAAGCCCCTGGGAGCGGGCGGGGGGGCGGCTGCCGCGCTAATGAGAACTACAAGGGGCGAGCAGGCATGGAAATGGCTCCTCCACTCTTGATGTGCATTTAACTGCTTTTTTAGTGCGGCGGCAGAGCCAGGAACGAAGGAGTGATGAATGCAGCACAAAAGCATTTATTTTCCAATTCGGCAAAGTGGCTACGTTGGGAAATGTATGAATTATTTTAATTCACTCAACTGTCCTGAAACATCACAGAGAGCGAGTGAGCGTGGGGGGAGGGGGCGGGCCGTGCTCAGTGTGTGCTCCAGAGACAGGAATCACTCCTATTTGTTCAGCTGCCCCAAAATCTGGGAGATGGGGGTGCCGGCAAGGAGCAGAGATAGGGAAAGCAGTAGTTACCCCTGGCATGGTGAGCTGGGAGTGAGGTCAGAGCAGAGAGGTCGGAACCGTCCTGCTGTGGAGCAGCATCCCTTGGCTGGACCTTCTCCATGCCCAGTAGGAGAGCTTCTCCCCTGGCTGGGACACTGCCAGCCCACCTTCCCTAAGGGGGACAGCCCCAGTGAGGCCCAGAGGCTGTGTGTGACACCCATGAGCAAACTCCAGACTTGCAGCCACGGGGCAGAGCTCAGGACTGCCCCATTGATGAAATGAGCCCCCACTTGCCACAGGTAAGGGGAGAGGGGCCAGAAGGGCTACTCACAGGGGTTGGGGCAGCTGCCGGGGATAGCCACAGCCTCGTTCCACTGGTCTGCGCTGGACACGGAGTAGGAGCGCTGGTGCATCCCATCTGGCTTGGAGCTGAAGCCCACCAGGTTGATGCCGCTGATGGAGCGCTCGGAGTGCAAGGACGTGCTGCTGGTCGAGTGGGGAGCACCTGCAAGAGAGACACGAACTGAGCGCAGCCCCACTGCTGCCCCGAAGCACGGTGGGAGAAGGCACAGTGTCCCATACCTGATGCCACATTCGTCCAGTGGCCCTGCATAAGGACAGGCTCTCTGTCTCTCCTCTCCCAAGGGGTGCTGGTGCATCACCCCAAGGGTGCTGAGAGATGAGCCCAGTGCACCCCACTTCCCAGAGGGACCCCAGTTGGTGGGTTTCAGGCAGCACCCCAGGATGCACAGCTGGGGATCCTGGCACACAGCTTTCCCACAGCTGGAGTTCATGTCTGCTCATGATTTTCACTACTGCCTCCAGCACCTCGGCAAACCCAAACCCACTCCATGGCCACCATGCCCACCCTCATTCCTCAACTTCACTCTCTGTGTGTCCTTGGCAGTAAAATCCAGCCATGCAGGAGGCACTGGGAGAGAGTGGGCAACCAAACAGAGGGTGTCAAAGGGACAAGCAGGGGAACAGACATCTGTAAGATGGGAACAGCAGGTGGAAATGCTTCTTCCCACTCGCTGGAAACCCCTGTGACTGTGCCCAGGAACCTGAACCCCTGAGAGAGGGGTGTTTTTAGGACCAGAGGCTGTCACAGAGGACAAGATCACTCAGTGATTCAAAACAGGTCAAGTGTTTCTGGATTACAAGAACACCCAAAATTTTGAGAACAGCAAACAGGGCAGTTCTGACAGGGAGCACACATCATCCTGTTCAGTCTGCAGGCAATCTGCCATGGAGGAAAACACTGCCTTGAGGGACCCCACTGCACCTCCCCACTGCCAGCCCCTTCCTGTGCTTCCCTCAGGGCATTCAGCTCCAGCCACTGCAGAGGACGTGCCCTGGGAGCCCAGGGTGGAGCAAAGGGGCACCTTTCCTACTCAGAAGATACAGTCTCCTCCTTCCAAACCGGAGGCACAGATGCTGAGCTGGGATTCCCAGCTGGGATTCCCATTGCAGCCCACCCGGCCATGGCCAGGGCAGGGCCGTGGAATGGCTCCGTGCACCGCACACCACAGCTCCAGCCCCGGCACACCGACCCCTCCACGGCCACGGCAAAGCCGGGCTACGAGCCATGATGAGGAACTGAGCCCCGGGTTCAGTGGGACTGCTGTGGCAGTGGGAACCTTCCACAGAACAAATGGACACCTGTAGGAGTGGGTCCCCAGCAAAAGCTGCTACAGCCAGGGCAGTTCATCTGTGTGAAACCAGCCCCACTTGGCTCTTGTGGATCCCAGCACGGCTGAGGTGGAAGGAAGGTCTGGCATCATCCCGTCCAGCTCCAGCTCATGCAAGACCCCCCCCAGCCAGCAGCCCTAGACTGTCTGACAGGTTTGGAGCATCTCTGATGAGGCAGATGGCACAACCTCCCCGGGCAACCTTTCTCTGTGCTGGCCACCCTTCACGAAGAGCAGAGACCCATAAAATCCCACGGGGAGCCCCAAAGTTTGTACATAAATGTACATTTCTGTTCCTGCTGTTTCCATGAAAACCCAAGGGATGCTGTTCAGATGCTGCTGGTACCTGGGCACAGCTGGGGCTGCCACATGCCTGACAGGACAGCTCAAGAGCCCAAATCTCCCCTCCAGAGAACAGAGGGGTGATGTGGCCACCAGCCCTGCACCAGGCATGTCTGCCACCCACCATCATCATCATCATCATCATTACCACCCCTCATTCATCGCCAGCATGGCAGGTGCCTCCCACCCTCCTCTTCCCTGTACCAACCCTGTACCAAAAATCCCCTTTCCCTGCTTTGTTGTGCAGGGATCACCTGTGAGCCTTGGCTGCAGATCCTGCCTGCCAGCAGTGCTGACACGGGGCTCACCGGGACACAGTGCTCTGCACCTTGACCTGCCAGGACCCTGCACCCTGAGCTGCCAGGACCCTCACCCCAAGCTGCCAGGGCCTCAGCACCCTGCACCCTGAGCTGCCAGGACCCTGCAGTGCCCCTGTCTCGCTGCCTCCAGCCCGGCTGCTGCATGCTTCCCCCTCCCTCCCCTTGTTCAGCACCACAGAAACACGTGTAAAACCATGACACTGACTTTGCCTCTAATTAGCCCTTAATTTACAAGACACACTCGGAAGGGTAATTAGCTGGCGCTCTGCTCCTGACTGCTGCATCCATCTCCTCTCGCCTCCTCGTGGGAGGGAGCCTGCTGCCACTGGAGCAGGGACAATGCTGCTCTCCCCAGACCGGGATGAGCTGGGTCCTGGGACAGGACTGGATGGGATTGGATGAGAATAGGTTGTCCAGCACTCAGGCAGTGCCCGCCAGCCCCAAGCCCCCAAGCAAACAAACAGCCCGTGTCCGCAGAGGAGAGGAAGGTGAAGAGAGGAGAACAGAGGGGCTGGGAGAAGCTGCTTCCTCAGAGGGGAAAGTCCTGCAGGGCTCCAGGGAGCCCAGATCTTCACTCTGCACCCCCACTCAGCCATGCTGGGAGCCCCAGTCTGCCAGGATGTGCCCATCCAACACTCCGAGGAGGAGCAGTGCAGGCTGCCACGAGCACCCAAAATTCCATTTTGAACGAAGGAACAGTCTCCATCAGCCTCTCCAGCCCCTCCAAGCTCCTGACACCTCATTCTCACTGCCTGGAGTCACCCAGCTGTGGGGGAACTCCCCCACAGCCCATCCACTCACTCAGCTCACGGACCTTGCCCCGCTCAACTCCGGCGTGTTCCAGGGAGCTCCTGGGTGGTCCCAGCAAGGTCAGAGCTCTCAGGAATTGTGTCCCTTTGGAAGCAACACCCTGGCAGCTGCTGGATATGTCCCCTGTAAATTGGGCAAGCCAAGTGACAGGTGAATAGACAGCTACATGTAAATACTATCTGTCCCTGAGCCAACACCTCCAGGGGCCGAAACCCCAACCTGCTAACAGCCCCTCAAGTCCCTCCCCAGTCACTGTTTCCTCAACCCCCCAAGAGACTCACGTGGTCACATCGGTGTGACCCAAGGCTCCATGATGTCTTTTCAGTACAGCCCAACTGATGGATGTGGCAGTGGATGGAAAAAGACCTGAAACCAGAATGGCCTCTTCCCAGGCGTGACACGTGGCAGCCCGGACCCTTCGGTGAAATACCTGGATCAGAGCAAACTGGGAATTCTTCGTTAAGGTGTGGCTGCCCAGGGAACAGGATAAAGGTGAGTGAGCCAAAGGGGCACCATCAGCTGGGAAGGAGATCATTTGCAGAGTCACTTAAAGATCTTTTTAGGGTCTCTTTAATATTTTCAAGAGAAATTTGGCAAAATAATGCAAAGGGTCTGGTGAAATTTCCTGGTGACATTATGCTGGTGCTGCTTCCAGGCCCTTACAGCACGGGGGAACCCAGCTTCGGTATGGGGAATGGGCTATGCTGAATTTTAAAGAGGCACCAGCTGAAAGCAGTTTGGGGATCCCCCTGGGTTTATGGCCAAGGACAGGACAGGTCTTTCCTCTGGAGTGCCAGGCCCTGCTCCAGCACAGGCAGAAGGACACTGCTGCTGCACCACGGGGCAGAAGGACTGTCAGCATGTGGCATGAGATGGTGGTAGAGGTGCTCCAGGATGGGGTGAGGACACCCTGCCATGGAGCAAACCCTGTTTGCTCTGGTACTGTAGAGGCTAGTAGCACAGTACAGGTTAATGCTATTGACCCTCTGCCAAACGGTGTCCCGAGGAGTCATCAGTCACCGCTGCCCCTTAACCAAAATTTTAGGGCATTTGTTGCCAACTGGCTGCCATTTATTTCAAATAAGAACCAGGATTACTGCGTGTCACCTTAGTGTACTGCTCTGCTGGTGCCCGCAGCCAAGCATGTCTCAAAGACTCCCCAAAAGCCATTGGGACCCCAATACATGGAGCTGGATGGGAACCCACTTCCAGCTGGTGGGAAACTCCTCCACTCTCAGAAACCAACCGGTTCCTGGGGGGAGGTGAGAGCCAAGGAGCCTGGTAGAGCTGCCTGTCTGTAAGATCCCTGCTGGGGAGGACATAACTCACCCCTCCCTGCCAACGGGCTGGCAGCTGACATGGCACAAACACAGCTGTCCTGGGAGCCCCTGTGGCTGCTGTGCTCTGGAGCCAGGAGTCTCTGTGAGGCTGGCTTTCTGAAGGAAGCACTGCATGCTGTTACTGGGACATCGGCAGGTCCTTCCTCATGAACAGTTCCCACTGGTAATAAGGCCAAAACACGTGGGGTGGCTCCCAGGAGCGCTGGGATGGAGATGTGTGATTTGAAAGACATCAACCTCCACGTTTTGCTCAGGAGCTGACCACCAAGCCAAGCACCCATACAGTCCCCAGGCATGAGGGGGAATGTTCCGGGGCGACAGATGGACAGATGTCCTTCCCAGCTCTGCCAACAGCGAGTGTCTGTGTGGAATCACTGATCCAAACCGTGGGTGACTGAGGTTTCCCAGCCCAGCTCCACAGCAGGGCCATCAGGATCTGGCAGCTTGCACACAGCGGGAGCCATTGCCATGCACTGGGCCTCACAGCTGCTCTGACACAAAGAATCTCCCTCCTCTCAGTGCTGCCTTTGGAGAGCATGGTTTTGGACATCTGCATGTGCTAAGTGACTCTGTGACACCCCAGCTCCCACCAAAGCTGACCCATGGTGGGTACAAACTGCCAGGACAAACAGCCCTGTGTGGTGCCGATGCCTCTGAGAGGACCGAGAGCCTGGGCTGGCCATGACACCTCCCGTCTCCCAGCCAAAGATCTGGAGCACACGAGATAAGCCAGGGCTTCTCCAGCCCACACCCCAACTCACCTCTGGTTCAGATGGCAGATGACCCCACGTACAGAGCTACAAGACCCAGCAAACCGGAGAAACCTGGGAACAGTGACGCTGCCCCCACAGTCCTGCACCGAGAGCACATCACCAGCCTGGAAACCGCAGGCAGCCACAGCTCCTCTGTCCTCTCCAGCATGACCTCTGCCCACGCCAAGCCCCCACACAGAGCCCTGAAGCCAGCTGAGGCACCCCATGTCCACCCGCCGAGCAGCTCCAT